TATATATGATGTTTGAACTCAAGAGACTGGAATAAAGCTACCAGTGGCATAACAAAAAACAAAGAACAAGGAGCAATCCTAAGACGTGCTGATATTCAGTGGGTGGGGGGAAAAGAAGGAGCCAGCAAAGAAACTGAGAAGGAGTGATGGGGAGATAGGAGAAAAACCACGAGACTCTCACGTTCCTGGAAGTGAAGTGAAGGATAAATAGGAGCTATAAGAAGTTAGCCCAGAAGACACAACACTCAAGCAAATGGGCAACTCACAAAAAAAATTGGAAGCAAATGCTAATAGGAATGGTTGTTTAGAAAGTTAGACCTTACCGAAACTGAACCATACCCTTACAATGAGATTATGAGTGGGTAAGCCTAAAAGAGAGGTCATTTGACAGCTTCCAGGAATCAATGAGTCTTTGTTTTTAAAAGTCAACTACAAAAAGACAAAATATGCAACAGTACTTTGAGAACAAGCATGTACAGTCTCTCTCAAATCATCATATACAGCCTAGCAGGTAAAAAATCACAGAATTTATAACAAAGCATGAGAGCACTTCAAAGACCTAAATTGAAAAATTAAGTCCCTAATAGATAAAAGATCCAGTTGTAACATAAGACCTCATGCTCACAGCCCAACTCCAATGCTATGAAGCTTTTCTAACTACTTTTCCAAATGGCAATCATCTTTCTCCTCTGAATCTTCTATACCTTCCTTTAAAACCACAAAATAAAATCATATTGTCATACATTTTAAAAACTCCCATTTTTATGCCAAAACTAGGATAGATATTTCACATATATTTTTTCTAATCCTCATAGCAACTCTGTAAAACTGAGTTTATCTCTATTTTGTAGATGAGGAAATATGCTTAGAGAGGATGCCAAAAAATTATACAACTAGTTAGGGACAAAAACCAAGATTTAAGTCCAGATCTGTCTTACTTCAGAATCTTCACTTTTAGCCTACTCTATAATACTGCCTTTTACCTAAAAGTACCACACTAATAACCATCAGTCACTGTTTCTGTGACGTTGAATATATTTAATCTTTTAGCACCTTAGTCTCCCCATCCATGAAATGAGGATACATACATTGCCTTGCTGTGAAGACTGAAGAAGAGGATGTATGTAAAAGTGTTCTATAAACCATTACAGTTATTGTTATTATATTTACTAGGTTTTATGCTCCTTTGGAACAAGTTCATATATGTTCATGTGTGTCACCTTCAAAGGTCAATAAAGGACTTAATATGAATTGAACATGATCTACTCATTTTTGGAAGGATTCGAATATCTTTTCCTCATCTAAGGAAAAAAACTGTCATCCCATTCCATGAAGCCAGGGTTAAGTACCCATAATCCAAGCCTTCAATTATAACAAAGTAATACACTCAGTGCATCCACCAAAGACAAGATTTAAATAGCCTGMAAGGCATTTATTTAGTAGTCTGGTATTTCTACTATAAAGTGGCTTTCAATGACAAAACAGTGTAACAAAGAGAAAATTCCAAATGACAAATGTCAGTGTTTTTAAGAAATCATGCCGGGAAAGAGAAGAGCAAGGGGAAAAGGCAAAGTTTATTAACAGAGTTAACAACCCTTTGTGTTCCACACACCATCTGATTTACCACCTCCTGATACAAATAGTATCTCTAACATAGTGTAACTCATCATCCACTATGTAGTAGAATACAAGCTAGAAAAGACCCAAGTTCACAAATGTAGTATATACACAGAATAAAAAATTTGAAGCTAGTGTCAATTTGTTTATCATTTATCATCTATGTAGATCTGCAAATACCTTTCAACCACAAACAGTAAGAAAAAAWGAAAGAAACATACTAAGCACTTTCAAGCAAATTTTGCCAAGGGAAAATATTTTCAACACTGCTTATTCTTGTTTTAGTATTAAAAGGCCAAATTTTGCTTTGAAMTAAACATGAACATTAATCTGCTTGAGCACTTGAAACTCTAATTTCCAACAAAACTCTAGCTCTCTTCCCTCATTTACAACTTGCTTAATGTTTCAAATACTCCTCTGAATAGAATTCCCATTTTCCAAGTGTCCCACAAGTGAATATAATGCTTATGTCAAATTCATTGGCTTTTTTGCACATTTTCTAATTTCTACACTCTTCTGGTAAAAATAATTTATTAATGTTGGCAAAATCATTACATGAGCTATGTCCTCCATTACGATTAGCAAGCTACCTCTAGAAAAAGTGGTCTATCAAATGTGTTTTATATTGATTATATAATTGCTGTAAAATTTTAGTATTCTTTTTGTTTTTGTTTGTTTGGGTTTGGAATTTTTTAATACACCAAAGCATACCATGAAACAAACTTGGTTTAATGGTCCAAWGGATGAGCTGACCCTGTCTTGAGAGACCCTACTTTCAAGAGTCCCTGAATTAGAACCAGGACAACTTCAACCTGATCTATCTTGCTCTTTTAAGTTTTCCTGTGTGAAATGATAATAGCTGTTAGCAGCAGAGCCAAAGATRTATACTCACCAAGTGAACATAAGGCACAAAATATCCAAAAAGTGCAAGTGGTATTCCAACTGCCCACACTGCATAAGCAGTCACCTTGAAGATTCCAAAATTGAAAAATTTTTTTGGAGGACTGAACTTTCTCCTGGAAAAGAGGGAGAATCTGCTGCTTTCACTCTCTTTATCTTTGGCACTGGAGGCAAGAGGTCGGTAAGTAAAGCCAGCCAGAAAGAGAACAAACATGAAGATGCAGAGGACCCTCAGAGTGTTAGAGAGGCCCACGCTGCCAATCAAAACCCTTAAAAGCAAAGGCAGCAAAACTGTGAAGACACTGCTGCCGGCAGTGACAATGCCATTCACCAGTCCAAGACGCTTCTTGAAATAGTGTCCCAAAATGACCAATGAAGGCTGGTATGCAAAGGAGCAGCCGCAGGCAAATATGATTCCATAGGTAAGGTACAGAGGCTCGATGGAACTGTATAAAGACGAAAAAGATGGAAAGCAGCTTTAATTAATTTTATCATGTGCTTGGTAGAATAAAACCTTATAGTAAAAGTAGGTTTTATTTAACCAACATATTTTCTACAAATAAAAATTGACCAAAAAAAAGGGGAAGGAAAACCTTAATAAATCCAGAATGTAGCTAAAAATATTTTAAGTTAATCTGAATATGTGAAAAATGACTGTTAAGGTCATCAGTAACTTTGGTCCCTTTTCCTTTTCCATGGATTTCTGGAATTGTGTTCCCTACAGCTCAAAAATAAAGGTTGGTGACAGGAAAGGTCTTGTAAAATTGACAGTAATTAAAATAAAAAAAAATCTTATCTCAATAAAACTTTTAAATTAGCATTTTTAATTGTGAAAACTCATTATTTCATGGAGTTTCCCAGGTATTTGCTAAGAAATCTAGTAAAAGAAAAGGCTACATTTGATATTGTCTTCCCAAGGTTATGTCAAGAACATTTGCACAGAAGAACAGTTGTGTCTCATTTTTGCTGGCCTAAGGGCTGTAGAACAACCTTCGCCCTGTGTTGCACTGTTCCCAACATTGTGCAAGATAACAAGAAATCATATTCTGATTTCAGGAAGGCTGAATTAAATGTGTCCATTAGTGATCCTGGTTTGTGAGCCTTAAGGCCATGGACATCTCAAAAGAAAAATAAATGATTAAAGAACTTTATAGTTTAACCAAATAATTATACATTTCTTAGAAAGACAAAGGATCATATAATTACATGTTTTGGAACAATTAAGATAAGTAGTAAAAGAAAACTAGGTTGTTTTTTTTGAAAGTCTAATTCAAAAGGCTATCAGTAGTAAAGGCAAACAATTTATTAGAAGCTAAGATAGATAAAGTTGGTTAATAATTAAATTTTGGACAATAATGCTAGTCTACCAATATGCTGAGGTAATCACAAGGAGCTCTAGAATCTAATAAAATTAAGGCCTGTTAGCAATTCTCTCTGAGATGCCCTTCTCCCTCAATTAAACTGCAGCTAAGCACTATCTTCAAACCAGGCTCTGGAGTCACTAATGGCTTTCCTACATTTATCTCTCCTCACTCTCATCACCTTCTACTCAATCTCTATTCTACATTCAACAAATATTACGCAGCTACTAGGTACCAGGCACCTGGTGGAAAAATATATTAAACATTTGGTTCTGCCTTCAAGCTACTCATAGTAGGCTAAGTTAAAAAATAAATAAATAAATAATAAAAAATACATCTACCCTAAGAATACAGAACAAAATATCAAACAATACTTTATTCTGCATCAAATTTTCCACAGAAGCAGTTTTTTAGATCATTGTAACTTCTTAAATTGTCAAATTTTAAAGGCAATTTTTAAGCAAATAACCTAAAACTACTATTAAACATTTTTCTGCTTCCTTCAAAGTATATATTAAAAATAGTATTGCTAGGTGTGGTAGCACATTATAAAAGAAGAGAAGAGAAAAGAAGCGACTCAGGAGACTAAGAGGCAGTAGGGTCACAAGTTGGAGGTCAGTCTCAGAAATTTAGCAAAACCATGTCTCAAATTAAAAAAAAAAAAAAAAACTAAAGGGCTGGGGATGGAACTCAATGGTAAGGCACTCCTAGGTCCAATCCTCAGTACCAAAAAAAGGAAATAGTATCATTATGAACATCAACTATTATGCAGTTATACATATTGTATTGTACATATTGTATTGCAGTTATACAGTATTATAATGCTGTCAGTTATAAAACCAGATAGCCAAGTATATAAATCAGAAACATTCTTTTAAGCATTATTTATTTTATTTATTTTTATTTTTTGCAGTGCTGGGGGTTGAACGCAGGGCCTCATATGTACTAGGCAAGTACTCTACCATGAAGCTGTATCTCCAGCCCTACAACACTAAATACTAAGCACTTGTAAAATTACTCTCATCTCTTTCCTTCAAAATGAAGTATATGAGCCCTTGTGATGACACTTTCACTGATGCTGAGCCTTTTTTTAACTTTATTTCTAGATATTAATCTTAATAATAAATAATTCAAGTTGTTGAAGTTTAACAACTGAGTAAGTACARTATAAATCACATTTATGTGCAAACGGATTCAGAAAAGGGGCCTCTGATGAGATCCAAGATGCTCGAGTCTTTCCTGAGAAGGCAGAACTGAAACCAGAGGAAGAGTGCTTCTACTGTTTGATACTTAGAATTTATACATGTTTCCCTTGTTCCTGTATATTGCTCTAAAATTTGGTAGCCTTTAACCAGCAGGTTAAATAACAAAATTAAATAAAATGTGAGGACATTACATGGGTCAATCTGATTTCAAAATTTTGCTTCTCTTGGACATGGAGGAAAGTAGGAGAAGAGAAGAGATGAACTGGGTGACGACATAAAATATATTTCAGAATTTTTATTTCCCAAACTTTAAAAAAAAAAACTTTGAAAAATAATACTTGTTTGTGTTTTGTCTACCAAAATGGGAAAAGTAACAGGTTATACAGGTTTCTACCTCTCAATCCTCTCTCCCCCAAAGCCTGAGTATTGATACACTCAGCAGGTGGTAGATAATGGGTAACTGGAGGTTTCAGATCAAAGAAGTGATCTGATAAGGCCTACTAACACATGTTATATTGTTGTCAAAAAAGAACTAAAAATAAATGATCTCACAGRATTGCCTAAACAATATCTTATTTCAGACAAAACTTTTTTTTTTTCTTTAAAATGAAGTTTAGGAGAAAGAAATCATAAAAGCAATTTAGAGATACAATATCTGTTTTCTACCCAATATAATTTTTWAAAATCTAAATAAAATTTTAAGTTAGGTAAAAGAAGTATAAAAGAGGCTCATTTTTAAATTTGAGGGACAGGTGTGTGTGTGGTTGAGGATAAAATGAGAATTCAGTTGGCTGAATACKAAATACTTTTAAATAAACATGGCAAGAAATGCAAGTTTGACTTTTTCCCCTTAATGACCACAATCATGTTTTTCAACTAAAGCAGCCTGAAGATAGGTAGGGAAGAGAAAGAGGCAGGAAGTGAAGATAAAAGTAAAGATAAACCACTAAAGTACAGAGAATGGAAATAATCTTAAGAAGTTTTCTTGTTAATCAGTTCCTGTTAGCCAGAGCTACAAATTAAGCCAGAGTTTTTCTGAGGATTATTCTAACTGTGCAAGGGAATTACTAGGACAACTGRAGTTTTGGCTAAACCCATTGGCTCTACTAGCTTAGTATCTTTTCAGTACCCTCCATCTTTTTACTAATAGACATAGGGAAAGTACTTTGACATTAAGGTTCATTCTAAGGTGTACTTAACTACTTCATTTTGTCATGATATTCAAACATTTTAACATATTCTTACAGGCAGGATTCTCTACCCAGGTTGGAATTAATCTTTAAATTTAATTTTTAAAATTTAATCTTTAAAAAATGTGGGGAAAAGTCTTATTCATATTAATAAACATATTTTCCTATCGGGCTGATGAACAACCTCTTTAAAATACCACTTATTGTACCCCTCAGGCCTCAGATGGGGATGACCTTAAACTCGGGCCATTGTTTCAGATAACTAACAACTATAACTTATTTGCTTTAGAATTTCTATGTGAATAGGAAAAAAAAAAAAAGGAGAAATATTTTTCTTGGCTCCAAAGAACACCTATATCCTGACTGACATAGACATCTTATTTAGGCATCGAAAACAAAAGCATTCAAATTCTCAAGATCTGATTTGCTGATATGAGCAAAATTTCAATTTGTAAGTCCTACTGCTTAATATTTTAAGCAAAGAAAAAGGTATCACTCCTTGTAAAGTTCCTAAAAGAAAACTTCAGGTATTTAACAGTTTTTCAAAAGCAGCATGAAGAAATCAAGTCCTTACCTTACAAAAGAACTGGACATGAGTCCAACAAATCCAACAGCAGCACCCATGACAGCTGTTTTCCGACAGCCAAATATGTCTGTGAAGACACTGGCTATGGGGCAGCAAAAGAAAATCATTCCCATGGAGAGGGAACTTACCCATGCTGTAAAAGATGGAAAGAGAAAGACATTATGACATGGTAAATTATATTTGTACTTATTCCTCAGAATATAATACACATTTAGAAAAATATTCATGCAAAAAGTTATTGTTCACACTGATGAATAGGAGTAAAGATAGAATAAATTAACAACTATAGCTCAAAGCAATATTATAATTAGTCTAGCAATTATGTTTAATTGAATACTTGAAAAGTTTGTACTTGTAAGTAAATTTAAACATTCCCCTAAAATCCAATCTATCTTAATATCTCTCTGTGACTTTAATCTATGGAAAGATATTTATCTAAAKAAAATAAAGTGATATGTTTAGGAATGTGTTCCGAAGTGGTCAAATTGCAAAGAAATGACTACTGAAATCAGGACAGTGGTTAAATTTCATAACTATTTAAAGGATCCACTCATTTGAACCCAGCTATTAAGGGGAGATCATTTGCATAGGGCCTGGGCTTAGTTCCTTTACTAAGGAAACTAACTGATACACTAGTAGATAGCTTTTTATTTGAATAATAGTTACTGGGTATTCACTTCATTTATAAAACTAAGCATATGATTTATCTTCTTTTCTGAAAGTATGTTATCTTTTACAATAAAAAAGAAGAATCCGAAGTCATAGCTTCTGGTTCTGATTTATAAAAATCYAAAACAAGAAAACCAAAAAGGAAGAAAAATAAATATTAAGTACAAATAATTATAATTTGGGGCTGGGGATGTGGCTCAAGCAGTAGCGCRCTCGCCTGGCATGCGTGCAGCCCAGGTTCAATCCTCAGCACCACATACAAACAAAGATGCTGTGTACAACGAAAACTAAAAAAAAAAAAAAACAAATATTAAATAATATAATTCTCACTCCAAAAAAAAAATAATAATTATAATTTTGTGCCAAAGAAATCAGTGATCTCGCAGAATAATCAGTCCTAAGTCAAATCTCCAACTCCAAAACTATAACATGTCCTTGGGCAAGCCACTTCTTCTCTGTTTTCTTATCTTAAAATGGATCAAATACATACCTCTCCAGAATTATTAAGGTTAAGAAAAAGTATACCTAAACCTCAGTATCTGGCATATGAGCACTTAATATATAGATATATTATTTTCTCCCCTTGAGGTGCTGGGGATTGAACTCAGAAACTTCACACACTGGGCAAGCACACCACCACTTAAATATACCGCCARTCCACATTAGCGCTTAATAATTTAAAATTTTAATAACAACAAATTTCCTATAAAATGAAGTAGATGATCTCTACTGATGTACCCAGTTCTAAAATTTTCCTCATATATTTCTCTATTTTCATAACAGATAAAGAAAGCCCAAACCWATCTAATAAGCTTTATTTTTTATCTTATTTATTTATTTATTTTTGGTGGTGCTGGGGATTGAACCCAGGGTCTTTTGCATGTGAGGCAAGRTTTAAATCCTGGCTTTACCATAGTAATAATTTCATTTGCTTCTTTGCCTTCTTGCATTTTAAATTATTTTTAATTATATAAACAGTATTTTAATCATCTATATTTCTATTTCTTTTATTCCCTTATAAGAAATAAGAGTTCATTCTAAAAATGCAATGAAGAGGCGRGGCAAACAGTGCCATCTTGATTTAGATGTTGGTATTGGGGATTCAACAGAGGGAGGTTAATTGACCAAATAAGTTGGCATAACTCAACCCCACACTTGCAGAGCCTCCCAGTATGGATCTCCTTGAGAAGACGTATTATTTTTTAAGTCTAATCTCTTATATAAAAATTRTACTAATCTGAAATAATTTAATCCTATTCAGAAAGTTTAGTAATTTATGTTTAAGAAACAATCTAATATTAAGACTAGGTAGATTTAGGGAAAAAATCCTAACATCTACTTTTAGATATAAGCACTTTTATAAAAAATTATTTTTTAGTTATAGTTGGACACAATACCTTCATTTATTTTTATGTGGTGCTGAGGATCAAACCCAAGGCCTCGCACATGCTAGACGAGCACTGTACCACTGAGCCACAATCCTAGCCCTAGATATAAGCACTTTTTAAAAAAGTCTTTTAACTTATTCTTTTTAGTTGTACATGACAGAAGTACGTATTTTGACATATAGTACATACATGGAATATAACTTCCCATTTATGTGATTGTACATGATGTGGAGTTTCATTGTATTCATGTATGAACATAGGAAAGTAATGTTTGATTCATTCTACGGTCTTTTCCTAATCCCATCATCCTCCCTAAAATTATTCTTGCCAGGGCCTTTGGTCACAACAGTGAAAAAGCTGACTAAAACACAGATCATCTTTTTTTCTGCTCCATTCTCACTGTATGGCTGAGGGAGGATGCAAATCATTCAAAGTAAGATTAGGTTCCCTATTTAAGGAGGTTTTTCTTGCATACTACTAAAACAAAAGGGTTGTAATTATGCAAAAGTAAATGACTACAAGGGCAAAGTGTACAACTAAAAGGGAAGATTTACTGTAGTTAAAGATATATTTATCAATATTCTTTTGGCTTTTTTGATGGTCCCAACTTGCATTTCCACTCAGTCTTGGCCTCTTTTAAGATTCCTTTGCTCTGTAGTAACACAACATCATTCTAACAGCTTTAAATGAAAAAATAAATTTTCATAAAATTACTTTAAAAATAATTAAATGAAAAAGTACATAAAGTATTGGGATTACAGGCTTGTTTCACTATGCCTGGCTATTTTTATTAATTTTTAACTTTTTTATCTATTTGATATTATTTTTGTTCCTTTTTTTCTATCAGTGTTGCAGTTGTTATTTTATTTTTACTGTATTTCTATAATTGGTTTGATTTTATGTTATTGTTGTTAATGCCATTTCTTTTTTGCTTTCTAAGCAGCAGTGCTGAGAAAGTTTAGTACCTGGAACATTTTTGGTGGGTTTAACCGCTGAGCTACACCCCCGGGTCCAGTTGAGAGAAATTGTGCCTTATTACAACCATACCCTAGTCCTACTCAAGCCTTGGCAGATAGTTGAATTTAAAAGATAGATAAGGGGGGRCTGGGGATGTGGCTCAAGCAGTGGCGCACTCACCTGGCATGTGTGCGGCCCGGGTTCGATCCTCAGCACCACATACAAAACAAACATATTATGTCTGCCGATAACTAAAACAAAATAAATAATTTAAAAAATTCTCTCTCTCTCTCTCTCTCTCTCTCTCTCTCTCTCCAAAAATAAAAAATAAAAAAAATAAAAGATAGATAAGGAAGATAAAAGCCCCTTGATGATGACCTGGGCCCAAAAAGACACAGCTAGGAAGAGCCTGAAGCCCCACTTGGACTCTGACTCCTGTAGCAATAGCAGAGAGAAATAACTCAGTGTGGAATCAGATCTTTAAGGGACCTTAGTGCTGGCCACTTCTACACCCCTTCAGACTGCATATTGCTAACAAGACTAGAGAAGTAACCACAGAGGATGCCTGCTATCTACAACACACCCACCTTCACTACTAAAAGGACCGACTCTTTCAAGACCTACAGAGAAAGATGATACCTCAGGYTCTGAAACAATACACACTGGGTCACAACCCACTAATCACAAGTGAAGAAGCCACAGTGAAACTATACCACAAAGTCCAYTTGGAATTAAACTCAATATTATAAAGCAAACTGATATCCCAGGGCCCATCATCAAGAGGGTTCACTCGGAAAGCCCTCACATAAAAATGAAAGAGCTATTCATTCTAAAAGATGTGCAAATCTCAACACAGAAATGCAAGAAGTATGAGAAAACAAGTTAATATGACTTCTCAAAAAGTGGATAACTCTCTAGTAACTGATTTCAAATGAGGGGATGAAATTCCATAGAATTCAAAACAATGATTTTTAAAATAATAAATGAATTCAAAGATTATACAAAAATATATAGCTGAATGAATTAAGGAAGACAATGAAAGATATGGRAAAGCAATTCAATAGGAAAAAAAGAAACAAACAGAAATATTGAAATTGAAAAGCTCAAAAAGTCAAATAAAAAGCTGAGTTGAAAGCCTCATCAAAAGACTAGATCAAGCAAAAAGAAAAATATAAGAACTTGAAGACAAGTCTGATAACTATCACATCAGGCAGAAATAAAAGAAAAAACTGGGAAAGAATGTATAGAACATAAAAGATCTATGGGACACTATCAGAAGACCAAACTTTCAGATAATTGGAATAGAAGAGGGAGAAGAACTACAGGCTAAAGGGACAGAAAACTTATTCAGTGAAACAATAGCAGAAAATTTCCCAAGTCTCAGAAAAGACATGGACATCCAAGTGTAGGAGGAATTTAGAACCCCAAATAGACAAGACCAGAAAAGAACCTCTCTTCAATATGTTAAACTGCCAAAAGTACAGAATAAAGAAAAAAATATTAAAAGCTGCAGGAGACCAAGTGTCAAGTCATACATAAAGGAAAACTCATTAGAAAAAACAACAAAATTTGTAACAAATTCTKAAGAGGGGGGCATGGAATGTTGTATTTCTAAAAGAAAAGATTTTTAAATCTAGATTACTATATCCTTCAGAACAAGACATTCCCAAGGTAAGCATCACCTAAAGGAATTCATCACCATTAAACCAGCATTATGGAAAACACTTAAAGAAATCCGACACCCAAAGAAGAAGCAAGATAAACACAATCATCAGAGCATAGGACAAAATTAACCTCAGGGTAGATCAGCAAGTGAGAATTAGGAAAGAATCATATAGCAAATCATTAAACACCTAAGGGAGAAAAAAATAGATTATTAAAAAAACTGACAGGAACAAGTACATGCATTTCAATAATCACCCTGAACATAAATGGTCTTGATTCTTCAATTAAAAGATGCAGACTGCTGAGGATATAGTACATATCCTCAGCATACTAGTTCTTGCCTAGTATGCATGAAACCCTGTTTCAATCCTCAGTACTGTTAAAATATATATATATACATACACACACACACACACACACACACACACACACACATACAGACTGGCTGACTGGA